ATAATCGATGCCGATTCGCCTAGCACTGTATCGCGAGACGGTCTTTGTCCTTAGACGCAAACATTACGACGATTTCATTGATCGGTACGCGATTTTATGAACTCTTCTACAGTAAAATGCTCCACCTTTTCTGATTACAGATTATATTTTCGACAAAGAACTTTTTTTCTCGAAAGTGCGTAAGATTTCAGGGGTGTGTCTAATCACGGGAAATAATTGTAATTGATTCCCGGAACCAAAAATAATTTTTTGTGTGTTTAATTTATACGTAATTTCGATAAAAACAACTTCGACAAACGATGGTTCACTGTAATCAAGTTCGCTATTGGAATTCTGCAATTACTGTAATCACATCACGTCCTTCGTTTAATTATGAATAAGGATACCACTACATAAACTGTGTCGCTTTTCTGTTGAATCTTTAAGCGTTCACATTCGCTTCGACTTTCAATTCCCATAACTACCCTAATTTTTGAAATTTTAAAGATTAAAGAAAGTGCAAAGAACGTCGATTTTCTTAAAATTTTAAAGCAGAAGATCCCCTGGGAGTCTTTCATCTTCGGACCGAAGAGAAATTTAAAACTTTGCAGGACCGCCAACTTTCGAGGTTTTTACTTAATATTTTTAAGATATTACATCAACATAAAAGCTCTCTTAGCTTCGTCTTAACATTTTCTGATCGATCGTTAGTCTTTCCAGGGTTTAACGCCATTCGTCTTCTTTTATAATAATTGCTAAATATATTTTCATCCCGACGATTCTCGATTCGTTAAGATTGTTTATCCTCGTTGCGTAGAGTCTGCCAAGTGCAAGATAGAAGATGACCTCTCTGTACGCTATCGCGTTGGTGCAACTTACATGGTTTGCAATTAAATTCCTCCAAATGCTTCGTGTCGATTGTCTGTTCTTCCTCTCTACTGGCCAACTTATCTTCCTTTAGTATCTCGCTCGATTCAATACTCCTTACATTGCGAACTTTACTCGAGAATCTTGGTGTAACACTTGACCCATCTTATGGTTTCGACCATGTTGCTGCGTTTTAGCGTTCTACTATTTCACGTTTACGACTACAACATCTATCTCGTCACGTTTTATCGAACTCTAAACTCGTACTTCCCCAATCCTTAGTGCACTCCTCGCTTAATTACTGCTACATAGTTCGTTGCCCTTATTTTTCATTTTTATTTTCTTCTGGCACGTCGCGCTACGCCTCTGCGTTTCTATAGAATAAAGTTATCAAACGAAACAAAACTAAAGTAAATATCCAACGATTCCGCGAATAATCTTCTATCGGGACACGGAGACCGAGGGAAACTGCACGGAACCAGAAAATTAATGTTTTCCCGAAGATTCCCATCGACTCTGCCCGCAAGAAAGTTTGCCCGAGTTTGGCAAAGTTTGCGTATTTTTGCAAACGTGGACACGGAACCGCGAAACTCCACGGACGTTCGCCGTTTCGTTTTCCAAAGCAACTTCGAACGATGTTTATCCGTGTTTACGGATCCTCGAAGCGCGACAAACTTATATTAACATCCCCCGCTTTGTACTTAATTCGTGCTTCGAAGCATCGGTATACATATTGCCTTCTAATTGTAAAACATTATCAGCTCGATTCCTATCCGACGGTAATAAGAGAAAATTGCTCGATTTAGATAGCCTCCGTGCTTATTCAATAGTACGTGTAAAGTTAAATATTTGGATCGCTTCGCACACTTCCGATAGCACGTAGAAAATTAAACATTTGGATCGCCTCGTGCATTCCCGATACCACGTGAAAAGTTAAATATTTTTCAAGAATATATAGCGGAATGATCGCGTGGTCTTTTCGTCTGTTATTTAAATATTTGACTGTTAACTAACACAATCCTATCACGCTCGCGATCGATAACAATTTTCTGATATTAAAAAGAAAACGAGAATCAGGGATCGAAATACGGAGAAATATTTATCCGCAATATTATTTCTATAAAACAATGCTAGATAGAAAAGAAATTCCAACACTGTAATCAGGGATGTTATATCGCTGAAAATTGTCTCGATAAATCTCGTCTCCTTATCAACACGGCTACAGGCGGTTGCAGCGTACTTTGCTTCAATAAATGATTTAATAATAGCAGGAAGCAAACGCTTGGGAACAACAGTTTCTCAAAACTGGATCCCAAAACACGACAGAGAATCTAGCTTTCCAGAAGGCTCGACGGAACGTTCACCCGATAACAAAGTGTTTTCGATTCCAACCGACCATAAATACACTGCAGATTGAGCCAAACCGCGTTCCTCGTATTCATGAATAAATTGTTCGGCTATCGAATGATTCTCGCGGCCAATCTACCCAGCACGCGTCTCACGAAAATACATACGGTCGACGAAACGATAACCACGGGTTTGACAAACGCGTCTGACAATAAGATAATGCCAGGAAGCAGTAGCATCTTTCCTCTCCCGTTTCGCCGCGAATGAAGATTAGATATACGCTTTTAAAACGGTGCTCGATGGATCGTTCCGACGCGTCTTGGACCGTTTCGGTCCGCGTTTCTTTTGGATACGCGATGCCTACAACAACCCTGGCTGCGCCCTGAGGATCGCGTCGCGTCGTTTTTCATTCTCTTCTCCATCGTCAGTTGGTCTAGCCTCTCCTACGGTTCTCTCGAGGCACGCCCAAGATAATCACTCCAAGAGGATAAAAGGATCTTTTTGGCCTTCCCCAAAGCAACGCCGGACCCTCGCGAGGGGACCGCAAAGACGCGTTACGCGCAGATTTTATTGAGGCTTCGCAGATAGATAGGCAACCGAAAAATATTTGACCCCCATTCGTTTGCACAGATACTCGATACTTTGCGAGATATTAGGTTTAGAAATAGTACATCGACCCACGTCTGGCCTTTCTGCGCGCTTTACCTTCTTCGACGAATGTTTATCTTGCATCTATATAGCGAGACTTTGTTCGACGAAGACGAAAAAATATATTTAATACAAATTATAATTAGAATATTATATATACGTAAAAGTTTTTATTTTCCAGATCAAGCGTTTCTTGGGGACTTCCTATAACATAAAGTAAGATACGTCGGCTAAAAACCCCGGGTACAACGAGTCAATAACCAGCCTTAGGGGAAGCTTTTACATCGAGTCGTTAAGGGTGTAACAAACTCATTTTCTGTTTATTGCAAGTTACCTAAATCACAAGCTTCGTACACAAAGGTTTCAGCCGTGACAGGATTTTTTTCCTACATTTTCTTTGAAATCGACACAGAAAATAACTGCGATAAACTAGAATTCTTTTTGCCTGATATTTCTTAAGCTGTCGTTCGAGCAAACGGGGGACGAATATTTTTCTACGATGCCTCGAGAGAAACGGTTCATATCGCGTCCCGTTCTCAAGCACAATGAGCATCTCGGGGTCCTGAGAGAGAAGATCATACGCCACGAGGCCCCGAACTCATTCATCGATGGCCTTTGCCTCTTTCCGAACCCCGGTTCTCCTCGTTTGGGCAATCCTTAGCCTCTACCTCTGTTTCCACAGCTTTGCCCTGTTAATTTCGAAAGCATAATCCCCGGAATCGCGCGAGATGCTGGATCGGCTAGCCTAGCATCGGCTTTTGATTCGATTCCGTACACGCTTTACGGCACGCCGGGGAAATGGAATCAATTCGCAGCGATAAACGGCCCCTTGTCCTTTGATTTGTTCGACCAATCCGATCGGACCTGGCTTTCAGCGACCGACGAACAAAGAGACTTTTCGTGCCCGTTCTTATTTCTCGCTTAAAAAATTAAGGAGCGCAAGTGTTTCGACCAATTCTCCGTTCTAATTAACCGTTCCATTCGTTCGAAATATTGTTTACAAATTCAAGAATTCGCGCGACTCGATTGCTTTGGCCGATTCGAGCATTTCATTCGATAAAATTCGAGGATTGTCGCGAATAAAGAATTTATTGCTACGCTCTAAATTATTATGGTAATAAATTAGAAATCTATATATATATTTGTACTGGATATTTAAAGTGTGATACCGTGCAACGTTTCGTACGAATTTTCACAAGAATGTATAAATTGATAACTTGCATTAGCATGCAAATTTTATATCAACCACTACGATTCCTGGTAATTAATCGCTTCTCGATAGTTCTTTCGCAACGCGCGTTCCACAACTAACGGAAAAGAGGGAAAATTTATTTACTGTATGTATATATTATTCTACCGTACTGTTTCCTTTTTGCACGATTAATTTCTTTCCTCTATTTTCACATTCTTCGATAGTAAAATTAATGAATCTTTCTCGTTCATACGCGAACTTTAGTATAATTATAGACAAAAATTATAATTACATTCGGATCCAGACATTTTATCGCTGTGAACTCGTAAAAATATCTCGAAGACTGATGTCACTTACCTACGAAACAATATCTAAGTCAAAACAACCGGACAATTAATCACTGGTAGATGCGTGTTCAGCAAAACGATAAAATTCAACGGTTCGTGTAAACTCTTTAACATTTCTGAAAAATATATTTTCGTTCGATATAGAATAATAATATTTTCAATAAAACGAATACGCGCGTATAAAAGAAAGGTTCACTTTTACAAAAATCGAAGGGTGGTTCAAACTTTGAAGTGCCAGTTACATATTTAACGCGTAGCCCGCCAGACCGAATCCGTGAAATTTTTTACGTGGACAACACTTTGCTCTCAGACAATCGGAAAATGCTTATTTATTTCGTACCCTCGTCGAAATTCGCTATCGTGCATTTTATCCGAGTCGATCGTTTTAATCTCGAGACCGCGACAAATACGCGATAATATTATTCGAAAGTGACTTTTCGATGATCGACGTATCGAAACAGTTCGAAGGGAATCTCGCCCGGCGAAAAGTAAAACTTCCCTCGTTTCGCCTGTCGCGAACTCGTGAAATACAAGCATCGGATTTCGAGCTACGTGGACGTCGATATTCCCTGTTCTCTATCTCGTCGGCTCGCTCCTTAAGAAAAAGTTTCTCCGCTTACCCGCCTTGCAAACGTCCAGGTCTAGATCATCGCTGATTGAGTGCGGAAACTTGTTATTGAGAAGCTCCTCCGCGGTGAACCTGCGTCTATGCCTGCCGAAGTCCCTCACCCTGAAATCGCCGTCTACCGCCCGGCAATCGGTGTACCGGGTCGCCAAACAGAGGATCGAAATCACCTCGAGCAGCCTCATCTCGATAACGTCGATCGTACCAACGGACCAACGATCGCCTGCCGCGTACTCGGCTAGGCCATAAGGGACCAATCGTACTACCGTCTACACCGATGCATTTGCCACTTCTCTTTCACCCTCTTCGTTCACCCGCGTCGAACCTTCGGTCCTCCGCTGACAAGAAAACCGAACCACCACACGCAAACGCGGGAAAAACTTTTCTCGACGCGGCGAAACCACCGATCACATCTCCGTACTTCGGGGAGAGATATCCTCCGAGGGAGAGCAACCCTTGCCAGAACGAACGGACCGGCGTGTCCTTCGGTCGGGCAAAAAAATTGATCGCTACGTCGCGAAAGTGGACGATACGCTTGTGATCGTCGAGGACGCGCAACAAAGAACGGGTGTCGCGAGTCCGCGTGAACTACGAAACGATCTACGAAGCAGGGAACGGATCGACCGCGGCGTGCGCGTAATCGTTTACTGAGGTTCGGGGCCGCGCGGTCCGATCGGACAGCTCTTCACCAGACGTTCGTCATCGACGGCGATAAGGAGAGATCGCGAGCGAAGGCGGCAGGGGAGCCGCGGTCAAAGTTCGCGTCACAGATTAGAGGACGGATTGCCGGCGGGCGAGATCGTCCTTGCGTGGAGAACGTGGAGAACAGACTGATCGTCCCTCGCGGCCGACACGACGCGTCGTTCGAAAGCGCGCGCTCGTACTGGCATTAAGTCGAGAGAGGGACAGAGAGGAGGGCTGAGGGGGAGGGGGAATGTGTATGTATATCTAGAGGGGATGCCGGGAACAACCAGTCTCCTCCCTCGCAAACCTGCACGGCACGAGGGTGGCCGAGACACTGACCGAGCTTCCGCGGCTCGGGCACCAGCCAACTCCTAAAGTGTGTATCCTCGCCACCCGAAAACTCACGCCGCTCCTCTGTACGCTACCCAACCCCTGCCAGTACGCATTAACGCTACAATTACCGACAATTATGCTCTATTTACTTCTACCGCAGAAATTAAAACGATAGACGTTCGAAGAAACGCACGATGCGATGGAAGATTAATGTTCATTCATTGTCTCGTATATTTCGAAGAATATTCTTTAAGAAAGTGCAAAAAAGAATCGAACTTTTTAGCGGTTTACGGTAGAAGACCCCCTTAATTCTTCAAACCTACAACGATGTAGAATATTTTTCCTACTTGTTAGAAGATGATTGAAGGAACGTCTGCCTCTAAATGTAACGAGTTGCTCGTTGTTCCTGCATCGTTGATGTAAACGACGCTACTTAATAAGCATGGTCGGAAGAAGAACGACGCATCGGCGTCGCTTTCGGGTACATATTGATAAATATTCCAAAAGTGGCGGGGTCCGTCGCCCACGGAAACACGTGTTTCATATCCCACGCAACGACCTGTATCGGTCAAGTATCGGATTACTGTCATGGGATCACCCTTTAGGAACCCTGCCTGTCTATCCGAGGGTAAGTGCATGTCGACGCTGCACAGAAACCCTCCACGAGAATAATCTCTGAAGGTACGGGGGGGAAAAACCGAATTCTCCGTTAACATCACGCACGAACGAACAAGTCCGCGTTACACGACGAACCGATGAAAAACAAATGATTCGAGGCGCTGAAACGAATCGAGTCCATTTGAATTTCAGCACCACCCCGTTTCCCCAACTGTGACTAATGCAAAACGTTGCCAAACTGTTCGGCATTGGCAATGTATTCTATCAACACGGTGTTAGAAAAAAGTGTTGAGAAACAGGGGCTTGTAAATGCTTTCTTACGAACGTACATAATCTTGAAATAATAATTGTAGGATTCGAACAATTTATACAATTTGAAAACGTGAATTTGCGAGCTAATACTGCACTCGTTTTAACGATTATTCGGTATCTATGCTTGTTTACATTCGACTATCGTGTACGAGCAATATACCCGACAATTTATTCGACCGCTGGTATCTTTTCGTTGAAGTACGACTATCAGTTTCTGCATTCGGAAAGTAAACATTCACAAACTTTCGCAGAACTGTCTTTTTGTTAGTATGATTAATAAAATGCGGGAATAATAGGAAGAATGAATGTTACTTGCAAAGTAATTCACGAATTAATTTCAACGTTTCGACCACAAGGTCCTCTTAGTAAAATATAATACTTTCTAAGAAAAGTATAATTATGAACTTAACAGAACGCCAGGTAAAGGACAAAGTACAGGGAAAAGCCCCAAAGTTGACAAACTTATGGAGGAACCAAACACCTTCGCATCCCCTACACCGGATTTCTATTATAAAATAGTTGAAATTTAAATGTTTCTTTCGTAATTAATGTTGGTCGAAACAGAGTGCAATCTACTTTTATGTCTCACGGTAACAAGTAACCTTAATTTATCAAGAATAGCTGCGAACAAGACAATAGGGATAGCAAACTATTGGACCCCCGAGAGTTGTTTAATTAAAATCATTAAGGCAAAGGATATATGGAGTAATAAGTAAGGTGTACGTGGTCAGAGCAGCGCGTGAAATTGCATACTAAATTTTACCGAAAGATAAAATCGGACTTCTCTTGATTCTCATCGAAAATTTGCATCCCGATATCGAACGTTTAATTCGAAACGACCCAATTTGTAATTTTCCGAAAATAATCAGCCGGTTGTAACCGTTACACGCGTGCGACCGACAGTCGCGACTCTCGAACGGAAAACAACAATAAAATATCGACGCGAGCGGACAAGGGGGGTTTGCACTCGCGATACAATTTTAAATATTTAATTTAATCGTGCTCGAAACACGATGCAACGAAACGTGAAACATTGCGCCAAACTTACCGGCGAATCGTAAGGATTCGAAATAAACGGTTTTGCCCGCGGGATTCCATGACTATCCGGGGCCGTAACGAGCCACTGCACGAGCGCAAACTTCGCTACAATTAGCGTGAAATATTTTAAACGTCCGCCCTGCACCTCCGCGATCCCGTTAGATCCAACCCTCTGGCGAGGGAGAGACCGAAAACGCCCGTTACAATTAAGGGGGCAATCCGTTCGATGCAACAGCAATTTAAACTGATCTTCGTGTATTAATTTTTTGAAAATTATACAAATTTTCGAAGCTAATTATATAAAAAATAAAAGAAAGATCCATTCTCTTAAAAATTCTAGACCGGATTCGGACTGCCTCCTCCTGACAAATCTTTCCGCGGAAACTTTTCAGAAAATGCAAACCAGGAAACGGGACCGCGAGGAAGCCGGTCGAAAAAGTAATCTGGTTACGCGATCTTCCTCCGCGTTCGGTTTCTAATTTTCCTGCGCTCGCTGCGAACGCAGAAAACTCGAAAGCCTTCCCGCCCCTGGCAGCCCCCCTCTGGTCGCGACGATCCGCGCCCTTGCAGGAGCTTCCACGGCGAAATAATTAACGTGAAAAGTTTCCACGCGATTGAAAGATCCTGCGTTACGATATAGGGGTGCCGTTGTAAAGTGGATCCGTCGACGGAGCTAGCGACATTAATTAAAATCGCCAAGTTTAACCCCTAAATCCCTCCCCTCTCTGCCCTTGTCACTCCTCTTTCATAGTTTATCGGATTCTTCTGGTCAGAGTAATCGAATCGACATTTCTCAATTTTAAACCTTTTTCTTTTTATTAGAATATAGTTTTCGAAAATGAAGTAGCCATAGCGTGAGAACCTTTGCGTGCGAAATGCTTACGCGGGAGATTCATTTTCGAGCGATCTTCGCCGTAAAAATACTTTCCCGGATAAGCAGCAGTCTCATCGCCGAAGGATCCCGAAGAAATTGTTCCATTGTGATTTCAATTCGCTCGCAGGCGCGTATAATGCGTTACAACGAGTGGAATAGCGGAGTTTATCGCGGGACCGACGAAGAAAAATGGGCGAACCGCGAAGAAAAACCGTGAAGCGAGGGTGCCACGGGTAAAGAGAGACGTAGGATGGCGGAACGGAAGCGGAGAAATCGACGGAAAACGAAAAACCAGCGCGTTGTGCTCGTTTAAACGAGCTGCCAACGAGTAATTAATCAGCGTTAACACGCACTCTTTGCTGCGCGCATAATGAAGCCGATTAGATGCGCGTCGGAGAGCTTTCGTCTCTCCAGACTTCGTCTCCCGTTAGGCGATCTTGTCTCGACGATACCGCGGAAGATAGAAATCCAAGGATTTCGAACGGGGGCTAAACATCATTTGCAAAGTCTAACGATATCGTCGTCGAAAGAAACTCAATATATCCGACGTCTGCTGGCTACGGTCGACGCCGAGATTCAGCGCGACAGTGTCCTTCAATTCTTGTTTCGTCCGTTCAAATCCACAGACGAATCGAGAGGAACGCGACACTTTTTTATTCGTTAAATTTTCACGAATTCAACGTGAAATTTATTCTTTCGTCGCGTGGCTGAAAAAGTGACTCGATGTTTCGTTTCGATGGACGTGGATAGTCGCGAATGGTTTCCTCGCGCGCGATATCGAGGTTGAAGAACACTGACACGGACGGCAGATTATCTTACCGCCGATGCGGAAGTATACCTGCGGTATCACCGGTAGCTTCGCGAAGTTACGAGAGGATATTCAGATCGATCATTCCGGTTGAATATTTTCTGGTAATGGAACATGAAGCTGCGTAACGATGTGCTCGAGTGAAACGAATACCGTGAATGACGACCCGCTATTTCGATACGAGCACGAAGATATAACTTTATCGTTTTCGATGACTGGGCGAAAGATTTAATTGTAAAGGGTGCTTCGCGTGAATTTGTCGTGCAGAAACAATGGGAACTGGTGTAAACGAATCGCGAAATAATAAGTATTTAAATCGAAAAGAGTAAAGAAAGAAAAGTTAGCTTCACCGATACGTACATTTGTGAAAATTTAGAACATTGAAAAAGCGACGCATACGGGGTAAATGTAATTTTCTGCCGCACCAGGAATATATCGATAGAGATTTAATCGTATTTCAGAAAATTCGTACGTTCGATTCAATCGTGTGAAATTGTTCGATCAATACCTCGATGTGTGGAAGGTTCGATAATGAAATGCTTCCTTTTATCTACTGGTTTGCGAATAGTGGGCCCTTGTACGCCCTTTACAACTTAAACAGTGATGAACATTTAAAAAAAAAAACCTAATTTTTTGCGCTGAAATTCCGACAGCGGACGCACCTTGTCTGATTTCGCAGAAGCGCTATGGCTCCGCGTGTAAAAAAGGAAAAGAAATCACGCGTCATGCACACACAGCCCTATTCATTGGCCTAACGTATTTTGCTCGTCACAGCGATCATCGCGCGTCGAGTGAAGGATATACATACAGGTTTGTACAACTTCGATTGCTTGTAAATTCAAAATCGAGTATAAAGGACCCTGGTGTTCCATTTCGACTCTTTGTGTTTTGATTACGTATTAAACAAACTCGGTACGAAAAAGATTGTTCGTTAACGGATTAATTGAATAATCATTTCCTGTCTTTAATGGATAATACATATAAATTTTGTTATTAAATACCTATATTTAAATGCAATCTATTTCTATCGAATAATTTTAACAATGATTTTTGTCGTTTCGTTATTTATCTACCTTTTGCTAACAATCGTTGCCACGAAATAATAAATACGATATGCCGTGTGTCGTTCGTGTTCTACAAATAAATTTCTAATTAACAAACATCGAGTTATTCCTTCGAG